CCCCCCCCAGCCGGGAAAGGGGCTGGCAACAGCAGATGCCTCCATCTGGCTAGGCCTCATCTGACTGCCACAGTCTGTCCCCAGCTGCCGCACTCCTGGAGCAGACCCCGTTGGCCGGCCCCAATGGCTCTGCGATGGCTGTAACAGCCTGACCACAGCAGCCCAGTTTGGGCTCCAGCCATGATAGCCTGGCCAACAAGGCCTCAATGGGGGCCCAGCCCCCCATCTGGCCACAGCATCCTAGGGCAGGCCAAATGCCACAAGCAAGACTTCCTAATACTTGAGGAAGGTAGTAACAAGTTGACTCAGCCCTGGTTGCTCCAAGAAGCATCAGACCTACCCATCAATTCAGTCTGATCTATACAGAGCTTCAGGTGACCACAGTCTACTCACAAGACAACAACAGGTGGTAACTGTATATGCCATGCCAAGATAAGATAGCTGCAGCCCTCTTTTCTTGAAGCTCCTTACTTCCTTTGGAATCTTTGTGAGGATACAGACTAATTCCTCTCCATGTCTGCAGCATCCCCCCACAATTGCTAGTAGAACAATTTGAGCACTTTCCATTCTCTTGTGCAATTACATATTCCTTGACTGAATGTTTCACATTGTGTTGACCATGTTCAAAAACTATGTTAGTGCATGTTGGCTGATGATATCACTTCCACTTGCCCCAGTGCAACTAGTGAGAAGCAGAACACGGCACTTCCTGAAGAAAACAGCTGACATGGAACTGCACTTATGTTTTTAAGTAGAAAGATCTCTTTTTTTAAAAAAACCCACACAAAACATGTGTCCACAAAACAGTTCAAAACAAGAACTGTGGATCACTCAGTTCAATGAAACATCTTTCCCAAACACAGTGAAAATACTCACATTCAATATGAACTCTGTCATTGTTAGAAATCCATCTCTTACCTGTTCTGCAGCTGTTGGGCAGTAATACACTAATATTACTGTTGTACATATGTTTATCAACAGTCCAGTAATGGTTATCAGATTTGGGGCGATCCAGGCTGGAGTTCTTCCAACTAGCCATTCCCAGTAACCCTGCATTAGAGGCTCAAGCAAGGACCGTCCAGCACTCTGATATTTGTGTTCTTCTAATCGCTTTAGCTGGTGCTTTGACAATGGAGGTGTAGGCAATTGAACCAACTTGCGTAACACACACACTGTTGCAGGAACATGACCACAACCCATAGGGGATTCTAAGCGTGACTCTCCACATCGCTTCCTTGAGGATCGATGCCCACTCATGGATTGGTTAGCCTTGGAATTTTTATTTGGGAGGTTAGTTGTGAAGTATCAAGATCCCAATCTACCTGGAATATAAAGGAATTTAGACACATTTAAGATGAAGACAATGTGCTTAACTTAGTAGCATTCAACCTCTAAGTGTAACACTATTGTAAGTGTTGGCAGTCCATTTGGCAATCCAGGCCATTTGCAAAGCAAAGGTGTCCTAAAACAGTGTTCAGGTGCATCTGCAGAGAGAAGTTTGAAGGGGATGGAAGTGTCATCTCAGTTCAGCTACTAATGGACATGTGAGCACATTAAAAAAAACAGGCAGCACTAGTTTTCACCCTTGTTGCTTCTCTCAGCAAATATACTGTTGCCCTTGGCCTAGTTTCTAGCTCCAGTGAAAATATAGACCACTGATATGCATCAGAAACCAAAGACTATCTTCTGGTTGAAGTGCAAATCCCACTTTAAAATTGCCTTCGCTGATATAAAGTGTAGCATGAGTACTTAAAAAGCAAAATCATAGCCTACCAAACCAAAACATTATGTTGCACACTCAATTCTCCTCCTGTAAGGACAAGGTGTCACACCACAGCATTGGACAACTTTAGACACAAGAGCTACCTCTAGACTGGCATGATTTTCCAGAAATGCTTTTAACGGAAAACTTTTCCGTTAAAAGCATTTTCAGAAAAGAGTGTCTAGAGTGGCACGGACGCTTTTCCGCAAAAGCACTTTTTGCGGAAAAGCATCCGTGCCAATCTAGACACACTTTTCCGCAAAAAAAACCCCGCTCGCCATTTTCACCATCGGGGCTTTTTTGCAGAAAACAAATCTGAGCTGTCTACACTGGCCCTTTTGAGCAAAAGTTTTGCGCAAAAGGACTTTTGCCCGAACGGGAGCAGCCTAGCATTTCCGCAAGAAGCCCTGATTTCTTACAGTAGGAAGTCAGTGCTTTTGCGGAAATTCAAGCGGCCAGTGTAGACAGCGGGCAAGTTTTTCCAGAAAAGTGGCTGATTTTCCAGAAAAACTGGCCAGTCTAGACACAGCCCAGGAGTCTAAGAAACCGCACAGAGTGGAACAAGTTTTCCACAGACCATTGCACACTTCCAACATTTCATTGGAAACTTCCGTGTGGTTCCAGCGTCTCCAGTGCCAGTAGGAGCGAGAGTGCAATTGGCAGCAGGCTGGGTCTTCTGAGAGCACCTACCTGCGTGAACTCGACAGTCTAAATATCACACACGCGTCGCCACCGCTGGCTAGTGCGCTGCGGGGGAGGCGGGAGGCAGCTGCAGCGAGGGGCCCGCGGGATTCCATGTGGGCGCCCGGGGGAAGCAGGGCT